AAAGAGAAGTTAATGAGCTAGTTGTACAGAAGGAAAATGTGTTGTGGAGGAAATAAAAGAAGTTGAATTGAGATCTCGTCGCGGGAAATTTATTTATAACAGAACTTACAATTCAGGTTAGTCATTTCTCTCAACGCAGTCATGCACCTAGCAGACTACCGATGAAAAATTTAAAATCTTTGTTACAGAAAACACGGAAAGTGGCACTTTTTGTATGGAAGAGTATTCGGAAAAATACACCATTGCCGTCTGAAATTCATTGTTACGTTAAAAATTGGAAAAGGTTTACACTAAGCAGGTACAGAAGTAACTGTAACAGTGTGAGGTTTTTACTTAAAGTGCAACTCCAAAACTAGTTCGTAAAACGAGGGAAGGTGTATCTGTCGTCTAAGCATCAAAGCACAGGCGATTTAGGTGGAATGAGATATCCAAATAGGCTTTTAAGTAAGAATTTGCCCCTCTGTACATGCAATTATCCACTTTATAGTGCTTACAACAGTTTGAATGACCGGGTTAAATTTGGCCAATTTAAGCTTTGTACTGATAGGAGAAGAATCCAGGACCTTCAGTTTATGTAGATGCTACAAAAGCAATTCATGCTTCATACTGTCAAGGAAACGTTACAGTATTTGGGGAAAATGCTGGACAACAATGTGTCGCAATGAGTCTGTGGGCTTTAATTTACCGTAACATAACAAAGATTACTTCAGTTGATGATATGACTCAAATAATGATATTCTAGTCTGTCACTGCTTGCAAGACAAAATATGTTAATGTTAACAGAATTGCCAGGAATGGTTACAGTGCAGTGTTTGAGCAATTTTTCGACCTTGAATACAGTGACAGTTATACTTGTAACATCCATGGTGATCCCAGAATTGAGGCGTATCACGACTGTATATGCCAGCACTCACAGGGTACAGCATTTGAAACACTCTTGGCACTGAAATACAACTCATTCATTTTAAGGGTGGCAGTTATTGGTGTTGGTGTTGATTCTCATGCTAGAGATATGTATCATAACAGTCATAGTGAAGGGCGGATGTGTATTGTTGGAAATACCATCCATGCATAATTTAGTACAATATTTTCAGACTCTACATAGGAATGAGGATATATATGAACTTAAAGGTGTATATATTGCCAACTTTGAACCTCATCTTTTCTCAAGCAATGTTGAACGTTGTAGTATATCAGATGTTAATAGTTACCAATGTTCCTGTAAACAGCGCTGCCCTGTAGCAGTTTATGCAATGTGTTACTCTCTCTCCTTGTGGATACTGGACTTAAGGAGCTTTACTTGCCCTTGTTAGTAACCAGAATACACTGTACAATGTGATGGGTGTGAAAACACATCTGACAGTCAATCTTCCTCAAAGTGTCAGTATCAGTGGAGCTGAGATAAACCTTACTCTCCGGGCTGTAACCACTCATGTCCTATGTTGTAATTTGGCTCCAAGCATGTCTGCATTGAAGATGTGCATATTTTCAAACATCGTCATGAAATGACACGGTTTTTGTTGTGGATTGCGACATACTGTATAGGGCAGGGAAGGGACGAAACACGAGATCGCCTAAAAACGCCTGCGTGGGAGGCTGTGTAGCAATTTGATTAGCAACAATTTCGTTAAGTTCGACTAAAATCCTTTCAACGCGGTAACAATTTTAAAACGTAGGTAGCGACGGTTCGTTCAAAATACATGAGCAAAATTTGATGCAAAAATCAAGTCACAATCGGCTGATAAGAAGAGCATAATCCGAGTAAAATATTTTATTTGCTTTCATTAGGTCGTGTTGCTACACGACTGACTGGTTTCCTTGATGCAAGAGCTGCATAAGGCTATTTGCTAATCTTTTGTTATTTAAGACTACATTTATAGGCACTGAAACTGTTTCCTGTCATCCTTTGCAACGGCTGGCAACTGCGGCAAGGATGAACTAGGACCGAAACTTGAAAAAGTTTTTAATTTAGCCAACGTTTTCAAGTTTTGATGGCAAATGCTATGCCTGCAAAAATGGCCATAAAAATTATGATTAGGGCTGTCTGACGAAAGTTATTTGTTATCTTCTTCATGACTCTAACAGCAGCATTTTGTGTATTGGTTTATTAACTAAGTAATTAGTTCAGTACAGAATTAACCTCAAACAGCAATATCCTTGTGACATAGCCCCTTTAAGGTGCGTAAGCATGCGGGAGGCATGGGAGTCGGAATATGAGAAAATGCATGATCTGTGAGACCATTTATTCCAGTAATTGTTGTCCGATGATTTTTTAAATTAAAGCGTCAAAAACTAAAAGCTTGCATTTGTCTGGGGACCCCACGTCCACTTTTCCTTTCGAGTATCGACCCTAAATGTAAAAAACCATCTCATATTAAGTAGAAAATAGGTTGTACCGACTACAGAACGGGAGCCCCTTCAGCAGTAATGAAACCAGCTGCTACTTTGCCTGACCAAATCGGGCCCATGAAAAACCACGTTATTAGCAAATACAGAACCTAACAATCTACTGAATCATTTTTTAATTAATGGACAGTATCTTTACGTTGTGAAACCATTTAACATTAAAAAATACTCTATGATTTAAAGCCACAGTATGAGGTTAATTCACCAGAAATTAGAAATCTAAGTTTTGGAATTAACTATGTACAACTCAACTATTCAGTCTTGCAAGTAGTCAAACACGAACCGAACAAGAAACGTTATTTCCAGGGACCGTTCTTTTTTTTTACAATGACCAACTGAAAATGATCAGTTTCAAAAGAGACCGCACAAAACACAACACTAGAAACCAGAAAAATCCGGGTTTTATCCGTAGTGACCTTGAGATACACCGTTTCAACCTAGGAGTACGGGTAAGCGAACATGTTTACCTCGCAGTTTTATAAAAGGCAACCATTATTTCCTAGATGTGATAATGGCGAAACCATTCTAACCGGTAGCCTACCCGTTTCTCCCGCGCAAGAGGCAATCTACCCGTATTTACGGCTACGTGAACGGCTAATTTATCCGTACACGTACACGGAAACGGTGTACCTTAAGGTCTCTGGTATTTTTAAAGCTTCCCGGGATTCTTCGAAAGCTGAAGGATTTTTATACTTTTGGAGGGATTTTTAGAAATTTTTGTGAATATTTTCAAGGTTTTTCCAGTTACGAAAAGCTCTTAAAAGTTTGGAAAAGTAGCTAAAAGTTTCGTTCCTCGCGTTCCTTAAGTCTTTGTTTGCAACGTTGTAATGCCCCCTTCGCAGTATCGGTGAGCGTGTTGCCCCATAATCCCGAGCATTCCTTGCATCTCCAATCGCCAGTCAGTTAAAATAAATGGCGAGCTCAACAGAGCTTGTTTCACCACAGGTCACCCAGGTTTTTTTTTTTAACAGCATTGGATTTCTATGGATTTTGAGTGCTTTTTATGGGATTTTTAGAGGTAAAACCGGAGGTTTTTATAACATTTTAGGGGAAATTCCGGACAGAGGCTAATTGTTTTAGGATATTTGTAGCTCGGCCTAGATGTAACATACATGCCTTATCCGTTCCAGACTATATTGAGTGTGATTTAGGGGCTGTTTAAATGAAGGGAGGAAGGTCCTTGTAACAACAAGACTCTTGAAGGAACAACTTTTCAGGGCTTACATGCAGAAATTTCGGTCCGTGTGCCGGACCGTGTGGTTACCTAGTATAGTAGGAATTAAAGATGGCGGGCGACTGGGACAAAAATGCAATTTGGGCCCTTCTACTCTACATTTCAGTAGAATTATCACAATTATCACTTGCCGTGATTACCCACTGAACGACCTACCGCCAGTTTCATCTGGTTTGTCCTAGTACTAGGATCTTCTACCTTTCAGCTAGGAAGATCCTAGTGCTAGGGAGACTAAGTACAACCCTTGCATGTTACACTCTTTCTTTTTTATAAGAATATTGTTTTTCCGGCCCAGGCTGAATATTTGTCTGCTGATTTTAGGCTGAAAATATTCTTGTAATATTCTTAATACATGTATTCTCTCTTTAGTTCTTAGTTCATGTCTTTTGCATTGTACATATTTTGTACTGCAAAAATACATTACATGTACCACTCACTCGTCATTGAACATTTGGCTATCGGTAGTGAAGAGTGTTTCGTTTGTTGGCTAGTTTTGCCGTTTAAAACAAAGGAATAATTTTAAATAAGTAAACACACATTGTATTGTATTTACAGATTTCAACACACGAAATTATAGTCCTCTCACAATTTCAGCTTCAGGTTTATTCTTAAAATATTCTTAAAATTTCGCAAATTTCAGCCTCGATATTCTTATCAAATATATTCTAATAGAAAAGAAAGAGTAACTGAATACAGGAAAAATATGGCGCTAGGATCTTCCAACCGCCGTGAGAACAACCCCTTATACCGACGTGGGAAATCGCAGTGGTTATGTAATGGTCATGTAGACAACCTAACGTGCCAAGACTTGCTTTCGCTCTGTCAGGAAACCTTCAATGTTTGTTGCCGCTATGCAACTAACATTACGGTTAAAAATGTCTATATACATATCAATATAAATACTCCAATGCCATGCGGCTTCAAACTTTGATGTTGTTGTTATTGCTTAACGCATTAGCTCTCTTCAGCTACTAAAGCAAATCCAAATGCAGCCCCTTTTCATTGCGATTTAGTGCAGATGAGTGTAAATGTTTGCCGCGGATGATAATAAAATAGTTTAGCCGGTCTTGCATTTGATGTGCCCCTCTGAGTGAACTTGTTAAGTACTGACAGTCACGTAACCACGGCGAGGGGTGCTGACAGTCACGTAACCACGGCGTGCTGACAGTCAGGTAACAAAGGCGTCACAATTCCTTCAACCACCACAAGCATGCCACATACATACGTCATAAACTCAAAGTTTCCCCACACGATTTTACAATTCTACCATAACGTTGCTTTTTTCTAAGCCGGTAATCGCTAACTGCAGCTAGAAGCAGGCCATGGCAAGTGGCAACACGACAGCAGCAGAGGTTCTTATCTAGCATACAGACATCTTTCCGTTTCTTAATGGCGGTTTCTTGTCATTTCTAGTAATGGACACAGTTGGTGATATTGATCTAGCAGGAGATCTTGAAAATGTATTATTTCCGTCATCTTCATTTCCAATCTTACCAGCGGTGGAACTATCACTATCGCTACCTTCGGCCTCGCCCGTTTCATCTCGTTCCTTGTTAAGCAGACGTTTCGTGGTATTTGGTTCACTTTTACTTTTTTCATCTCTGGGTGGTGATCTGGTATACTTAACCCCCTCAACTTTTTTGTTGCTTGGTCCATCACATGACTCTGGATCTTCAGAGGACCCTTTACAGTGACTCATAACCTGACCATGAAACTTTACTCCAAGCGCAAATCCAAGAATAAGACTTAGTAAGATGGCGGTCACCACAGCTACGGCAAACAAACCATTGTCTCTGTTTTCTATTTTGGAAAAAAATGTGTTCTGTTACTGATCCCGTGACGACAACTGGACCTACCTTACTGCTGTTATGCTATGTTATTGTCCAACTGGGTATTTACTACAAACACATATTGTTCTACACAATAAGGGGCCGCGAATGTTGGAAAGTGGACACGAATTAACCCGTTTTACCAGAAATGCTACTTTAAAAAGACATACTCTTTCAGGTTGACGTAAAGACAGACGAGCAAGGCAAGTGAACAGAAGGAAAATGTTCTTTTATTTTATTGGGCCTTCCCATCGCCTGCCTCTTCAGCTGTATTTTTGTTAGTTTTCTGCCCTTTCCCTACATCAGACTGCCTATTCACAGGCAGCATGCAATTTTCTGCCAATTTTTTTGCTTTACAAAAGGGTTCTCAAAGTGAAAAAACAAAGTAGTACACAGCCTATTTCAGGAATTCAGATAGTGGAATGGGGCGCGAAGGAACGAAAGGGAAAAAGAGAGTTCCTAACCCACCCCTCCCTCGCGGTTTTCCCTGGAACAGACTAGAAGTTTAGGCAACTCTGTAGGCAAATCACCCTTTTTACTACATTTGTTTATCTGCTCTGCTCCGCTAAAACGTCTTTTTTTTTTTAAGTTTACAGCTGTAACTGGCAGCACGACTATTTCAGACTTTAGAAACACACTTTCTTTCCAGCATCGTCAATATGAATCCATAAAGTCGGTTTAAATCAAATAATTTAGTAGAGACACCTACCTTGTTTGTCCGGAGCGGGGGTTGGGTCTGCAAAAAAGTAATACAGTAAACACAACAGCTTTTATAAAGAGACAGACTCGTCTAACAAACTCTGGACCTGACAATTTCTTTTTGTAACCCTACAATCAGTCAGCGAGCGACAGTAAATGGAAATGCAGTTGCTCTCTCAATCGATCATGGTGCATGAGTTCCGTTTCTCATAACTAATTTTATTCATTAAGGAAGGGTTACGAGGGTTACACTTGACAGTTTTAAAAACTGATAAACCTGTGGCACACCATTTTTTCACTACTCACGCCAGAATTCGACCACGGTGCCCCAAATACAAGGTGGAGACCTTGTGATCAGGTACAACAGTAGCTACCTACAGTTACTTCCTATAGTTGCTAGTCAGTAGTGTGCTTTGCATATCCATAACCTCCTGTTCTACACCAATAGCGTCTCATTCTACTCCAATAGCGTCTCATTCTACTCCAATAGCGTCTCAACGGCGAAATGGAACAAACATTTACACATCGGGTAATCAAAGGAAGCAATCAGGTACTAGTGCTAGCCAGGGCACCGAGTCTAACGCCGTTTAATGATTGACGCGAAAGTGTCACTTTGAAGAAAATTTCGCTAGTTTCCAACACAGTACAACCTTCAGAAAATCTTAAATCAATCACATTTTTCTTGAAAATGTGAGCTGTTTATAACAATAAACGGTTTGATTGCCTTTTTTCACGGCTAGTGTCTTGATGTAATGATAACAACAAACAAACAAACAAACAAACACGCAACTTCCATAACTCATGCGCAACTTTAAATGGGAATTACCTTTCCTGGTTGGGGTCAGACTACCAATGGTCACCTGAACAGTACTAAAAACCGGTTGGATGGTTGTTACTTCTGAAACCAATGTATGCGCAAACAAAATGATCAGTGCTTGGTCAAATGTGAATTTTAGAAGTACTACCAATGGATTGCAGTGCGTTCAAAATCTTTTTAACAGTACATGTATAATCAGCAATGGAATAGAGCCAAGCTTTGCAGAAAACTCAAATGAGGTTTTGAAATGTTATGGTGAAAAAGGACGCAAGAGATGTATGGAAGCTGCGTGATAGAAAAGTAATGGCAGCACTGAACAGGTCATCGCCGCTGAAAGAAATTAAAATTCCATCACCTTTCCTTATCCTGTTATCTTGGTTAATCAACACACAGAATATTGATAACCATTACAATTTTTAAGTAATTCAGGCACGTGAAAACGGGCGAACGCTTACGTTATGGAAAGACGTTGATATTATAATCAGGTAAGTTGGTTACACAGTTGAGGGAAGTAAGAAAAGTTACACACGTTTGCATCGTATGAATTTTGCAGTCTTGATTAGTTTTTAAAACAGTATTCTTTATTAAAGTTATAGCTGTGGAACAACGCAAGTGAAAATCTAACAAGTTGAAAATTATGTAAGAAACGATTGTAAATAATATCTCACCAACTTCTGGCTCCACGTTAAGACCATGAGAAGCATCGACACTGAACTGTCCCACTTTACCAGAAGTTACTCTCTCTTGCAAATCTTCCAGCAATTCAGAGTTTTTGCTGGCAGGTTCAGCAGCGAAGTTTAGGACCATCGCACAGATAATACTTCCTTTGCTGTAAAACATATCTATAGTCAACTTTCTCTAAGAAGGACAACTTAAGGACGGGCACAATGTGTCCCTCTCAGAGAGATGCCCGTCTTTTCGGGAGTCGATTAAAGGGAGTAAGAAAGACAGCGACCAACTCTAGGTGTGGCAGCTATCGTGTTGGGGTGGATTTCCACTGTCCTAATTTTCACGTGCGTGTACACGCACGTAAATTTTGCACGCATAAATAAAAATAGAGACAAGGAATGAAGTGTTGCGCTTAAACGTGAAGGTGGGCGAGGTTCAACTTTCACTTTTACGCGCGATCTTTTAAGGTTGCATCTGCGAATTGCGAATGTAAATTTTACGCACGCAAGCAAAAAAAAAAAAGAAAAAAGAAAAAAAGAAAAAAAAAATACGCGACAATGGAAATCCACCCTTTAAGTCTAAATTGTAAATTTAAAGTTTTTAGTTAACTCTAGGTTTAGTGTCCATGGCTCTTGGTAAGACTGAGCATGCTGGAATGATCATTTTACTTTACTGTTCGCTAC